AAAAACTTATTACGTTGAAATCTAAAGGGAATTTGATTTTTTTAGCATTTTTTTTGTTTAAAATCTAACGATTGAAATTTATAAACAATAGTTTTTAATGAGTCAATTTAAAAGGTAACAAAAAATAAATTTTTAGTAATTAATTAGAATTAAATTTATAAAAAAATATTTTGAATATATTGTACGATAGTTCATATATTATAAAACACATATTACATATCACATGATATATTTTCAATTGTTAATCAAATACGAAATAATTAGAAATACAAATTATTTTTTATTAATATTGTATCGATACATATACAATATTGATAAATATATTTTTTTGGTGTAAAAAAGAGTCGAGGATTCGAATTCCTAAGTGGAGAAGAATAGGTAATCTATGAACTACTTAGAAACCTGGAACATGTTCTTTTCTGAATCATATTATTATGGTAGGCTTAACTCAGCGGAACAAACAATGAAGACAAAGTTTTTTCTGGGCCACTTGTTGCCTTGTTGAGAAAGCACAACCAATGAAACGTTGAAATTGTGGATTAGGTGCCATAGTTTGCAACTGGGGTTAGTATCTATGGTTCATCATGAAAACTCCCTTCTCAATCATGACAGTAGTCATTCAACAATGAGGATGTAAACAAACTTTCTTTGGTGCAAAACAGGGCTAAAGATTGAGAGAAACAGGTAATCTATTGAACTACTCGGAAACTTGAACATGTTCTTTTCTCAACCCTGTGGAACAAAGAAAGAAGACATAGGTTTCGGGGTTAGGACAATTCTGGTGCTTTGCATATAAGAAACAAGAATTAAGAAGTGGCAGGATGACAATGTTGAAAGCAAACCCAGTTCATCCAAACTGTTCATAATATGCAGAAATTCAATTAACTTTAATAAGTGCTTCATCAAGAAAACAGCTGGGGACTAGGCATATGCAGGCCTTAATTCTCTGCTTTCTTTGTTATGTGCATGCTTCAGTCGATTTGGAAACTCTACAAAGAAAATAAGCCGACAAGACTTTGGTTAAGACCAGTCCACGGTCCCCACACATTAGCAAGATCAGAAACGTTAGTTACTGGAATTGGGCAGGGGCCGCGCGGACGCAGGCCCCCACTATCACAAATTATGACGTAAGCTCTCCCGCTTGGGGAGACCTTAGGCAAGCGCCCCTCCGAAGTGCAATGGAGGCCACTTATCTAGGCCATGGGCCTTTATGATCACCCATCGACCCCGTCCAGGTAAGTATGTTGCAACGATGCCACCTTCCCTTTATTTATAGTCTCTGCTTCCTCTGCTCACTGTTCCTTACTTTTACTTGTCCATTGTGGGACGAACGAATTTCCAAGCAGAGAATAGGTTGGCTTCCCTTCCTTTCTCTGGTCCATACAGACTTGTGAAATTCGAAGGAAACGATGGTCAGTTTCCAAATCATTATTAATTGGTCTTTCTTCTTTTTGTTTTTTTAAATTGATTAAACAGGTTTCTGAGCAATTGAATTTTATTTAAAAATATGAAGTAAGGGTACTTTGCTTTCAACCTTGCACATTAAAAGAGGAGAAAACCTATGTTCATGGGTTTACAAACCTCCTATTTTAGTTCAACTCAAACTAAAATTAATTAAAATTGTGCCTTCAGGCTTGTGGCTTTTGATTATTATAATATCAGATTCATCTTAAATTCTAACAAAAGGAAAGGAAAATAAGTTGTACTATAGTCATAAGCAAAGCCAGTTTGAAATTTTCTAGGATTCTTCTCATTAAGCCACAAAAAAATTTAATGACCTCGTAAACCCATTTTTGTTCTAAATCATGATTCATAACATAACTCGGATAACCTTTTAAAAATACATAAGTAAATATTTGGAGCGGAATTGAGTGGGGTACGACAGGCCCGAGCTGTAGTGCAACGCTTGAGCGACGCGCAAGACTCACAATAGCAAGCTATTGTGAGTGGGCTCTCCCCCTAAA